ACGGAAGAGATACAGGCGAGCATGGTTGGTCTGGACGTCAGGTCAGTCCTTTGTTCTGATCCCGAGACTGCACAGCGTAATCTGACATTGTTTGCAGTCCTCGATCCACAGCAGCGCGCCAGACTGGACAGGTCACAGATGGCGCGCGAGCAGATTGCCGATTTCCGGGTCATGAACATAGATTTCTTTCCTAGAGAATCGCGTCTAGTCACCTTCCGAGATCCCTGGAGCTTTCCTGTTCTATTCCACCCTGGCTGCAACCACCTGATTCGAGGTCACTTGCAGGATCTAGCGCAGAAGGTGACTCGGCATTGTGAATCTTTCTGAGCGCTATACTGACTTTTGTTGAGGTTGTATCACTGTGTGTGAGTTTAGGAGAGTACCCGATTATCCGATACTACCGGCCTAGATCTCCTACCCACGAAGCCAGCGTCTTGTGCTCCCACCTCGCTCGATTCATTCAGAACGAATTAGACCAGTTCGCTCAATCTCAGAGAGACTTTCCTCCTCCTTCGCCGAGACCTCGCGGTGTTCTTCTGCTGGCAGACCGCTCTATGGATATGGTTGCCCCCCTCGTCCACGAATTTACATACCAATCAATGGTGCATGATTTGCTACCTATAAAAGACGGGGATAAGGTCACCTACACCACTGTTATCAACACTGGCAGTGGCGGCGAGGAGAAAAAGGACATGGAGATCAACGAGGAGGATAATGTTTGGGTTGAATATCGGCATCAGCACATGAAAGACGTGTTGGAGAAGCTTGGCCGAGACTTTGCGAAATTTAGGGAGGCCAATCCTCAGTTCGCGGAAGAGTAGGTGACGTCTGAATTTCTTCCTCTGACTTTGTCTTTGATTCAACGCCCCCGACGGTACGCCGGAAGGAATTGGCATGTGCTGACCTTTACTATAGTAATGACAAGGCCAACGTGAATACGATCAAGGACATGCTCGCGGGCTTAACGGAGTTCCAGAAAGGTCGAGATGCATACACGCTTCATCTTAATATGGCAGAAGAGTGCATGAAATTCTTCCAAGACCATAAGCTCTTGGAAGTCAGTTCAGTTGAGCAATGCCTTGCGACTGGTCTAGACGAGAACTATAAGAAGGCAAAGAACCTGGCTGCACAGCTTGTTCAGCTCCTCGATGATGATGCGGTTGTGCGCCCGGACAGACTGAGACTCCTACTCCTCTACATCATGTATAGGGGAGGTATCTTGGCAGGCGACATCCGGAAGCTCATCGCACACGCCCAACTAACACCGCAGGACGGAGAAGTCGTTTCCAATCTTGATCTACTTGGCATCAGGGTAGAGAAGCCACTGAAGGACGACAAGCAACCTGTCCAGCCGTTATTCCCAAGGAAACCTCCGGCTGCCACCGAGATGGACGAAGCCAGCCTTTCTCGATATGAGCTGAATGTCAAATTACTGCTAGAAGAACAGGCCCGGGGCACATTGGATCCTGCACTGTTCCCCTTCACCCGACCTCATACCACAGCAGATGGTATGGCACAGCAGGATGCTCTAGCGCAAGCGTCCTTGCGAAGCGCCAAACCAACGTGGGCGAGGACCCGCGGTTCTGCCGAGCAGCCACGGCAACGAATCATTTTGTTTATGGCTGGCGGCGCTACATATGGGGAGTCGCGCGCCTGCTATGAAGCGTCGCAGATGTTTGGCAAAGACGTATATTTGGCCACATCCCACATGCTAACACCAAACTTGTTTTTACGGCAAGTCAGCGATCTGAGTGCAGACCGAAGACGCCTAGACATTCCTGCGGAACGGCCCAAACCCACAGCACCTGCTCATCTGTTTGAAAAAGAGCCTCCTCCGCCTCCACCGGTGCAACAACAGCCTGCAGCCAAGAAAGCACCACCTCCCAACCTCAACCCTCCAGTGCCTACAGCCGCTATGCATGCGATGTCACTGGGATCCAACGCGCAGAAGGCCCCCAGCGGAACGCCGTCAGCCAGCTCCAAGCCCCATAAGGAAAAGAAAGAGAAGGAAAAGAAGAGATTGCACTTCTTCCGGTAGAGTGTTTCTCAGGATCTTTCCCTGAAAGACCTGATAACTATGATTGCCATTCTCCTTTCCATCCCATTTAGCGCTGCTGTGATACCATCTCATACTGTGTTTCTGGCGCTGATTGAACATACCTTGATCTTCGTCTTCAACTGACTTGTATGATAATGCTTTATAAAGTAAGCAGCCGTGTAATGTACTATCTGCGCTAATTCTAATCATCAATCGGGGTATCATATAGTAGAAATCAGATTCTATCCGCATAAAAAAAGGCCAAACCCAGTCCCACAGGTATCCCAAACCAACCTAAGCACCCCCACTCAGGTACCGTTGCACATCGTCATTCTGATAGAACATCTCCCGCAACTTCTCGCCTCTCCTCTTTGCGTCGAAGTGCCCCTTTCGCACCTGCTTCGCATTCAATCTCTGCACCTTGGCCGGAGGAGCAGTAGCAGCAGGTACTCTCTTCTTCCCCTTCGCACTAGGCTCAATATCAGCCCCCAGCCCCACAGTATCAACTTTCAGCCTCCCCTTGAGGGGCTCCCTGATTCCCTCACGCCCCGGAGCCCCGAGACCCAGTCTGCTATCCGGATCCCAACCATAAGCGGACAAATACCGGAGTCCGTGACGGGTGCGGTCGAGATGGGACGGTGGATGCGAGTGAGATAGACATAGCTGATGCGCCAGCGACGCTTCGTGTGGCCGAGGAAGGCCTTTCTCGTCTGTACCTGCTGTTTCCCCGTCAAGCGGGAGATTGCACACCTCGCACCGTTGGACCAGAGCTGGGACAGCGGAAGGCGACGGCGGCGCGGAAGCTGTTTCGTTGCGCGCGACGGGTTCTGGTGTTTGGCTGGGTGCTCTTTCTTTCGGTAGGACGATTGAAAGGTATTTATCGGCCGGACTTAGGCCGGAGGATGTGGATTGGGGTGTGGTGGTTGTGGTTGTTGACGTGGTGGTAGTGTTTAGCTCGTGTTCTGAGGAGCGGACGAACTGCACGCGCTTGCGACGGATTCCGGCACCGAAGATGCGCTGGTCTTCCAGCGGAAGAAAATAATCCTCATCGTCGCTGTGGGACATACTTCGTCAGGAGCTTGCTGTCATCGAAATGCTGTTGTGACTCGTGAGGGGAAGATGTTGGTAATCTAAGATGTTGCCGGTGGTGGCGGGAGATCGGCCGCTATCTAACTTCTGACGCAGCTCCGGCTACGGTTTTTAGTGTTTCAACGGGATTGCATTCCAGAACCTGTTCACTCTTACACTTCTTCATTTTGTTGGTTTTTATTTTCCATTCGCTATTCCGTACCAGGTTACACAATGCCCATCCCCATTATTGTTCAGGGGATCCGGGAAGGTATAGACTCGATTCCGTATGCCTACACAGTTCTCAAGATTGTGCCATGGGTGCTGCTCGTCGCTGCCCTCAAGTACTACTTTGGGGGAGCTCGGAATGGCTCAGAGCGGGTGATGCACTCGAAAATTATCATGATTACCGTAAGTCCACCATGGTCGCTTTCATTTCATCAAGTATCCTTACTGATACAATGCTCTAGGGAGGGACATCAGGCATTGGTGCCAGCGTCGCCCATGAGCTTGCATTACGCGGCGCGCAGATCATCCTCCTCACCCACCATTCCCCCTCAGACATCTTCCTGATCGATTACATCGAAGACCTGCGCAAGTCAACAAGAAATCAACTCATCTTCGCTGAACAAGTCGACCTCTCCTCCTTACATTCCATCCGGACCTTTGCGACCAAATGGATCGACAATTATCCCCCGCGACGACTCGACATGGTCATCTTGTGCGCGAGCACCGCCTTGCCCGCCTCCAGCCGGGGACGAATGACGATAGACGGCTTGAACGAGGAGTGGCAGGTCAATTACCTGGGCAACTTCCACCTACTGAGCATTCTGAGCCCCGCGCTGAGAGCGCAGCCCGCTCACCGAGACGTGCGGGTCATTTTCACCACATGCTCGAGCTATATTGGCGCGAAACTCGACATCAAGCAATTGGAGGCGGTGACCAGTGGCTCTATACCGGCAGGGCAAACAGTGACCAAGAAGAATGGAAAGCCACAGAAGAAGGCATCCACGGAGAAGGAAGCCGGCCTATTCGGTCTGAGCAAACTCGCTCTGATGATCTTCGCAAACTCCTTCCAGAAACACTTCAACTCATATCAACGTCCGGACAAACAGCCGAACGGTACCCGCGTTATCGTCGTTGACCCGGGCCTCAGTCGAACTCCGGGAACCCGTCGCTGGCTGACGGGTGGCTCGCTCTGGGGTCTACTTATCTACCTTCTCACCTGGCCACTGTGGTGGCTTGTCCTCAAGTCTCCTCAGCAAGGTGCGCAGAGCATCTTGTATGCGGCCATGGAGGCGCGGTATGGCCGTGGCGCTGGCGGGTGGATGGTGAAGGAATGCCGGGAGGTTGATTTCTCCCGAAAGGATGTCAAGGACGAGGAGCTCGCCAAGAAACTCTGGGAATTCAGTGAGAAGCAAATTGAAGCGAAGGAGAAGGATGGTGCACTCAAACGTGCTCAGACTAAGGCGAATGGGAAGATGACGGAGAAGGACAAGAGCGCAAAGCAGCAAAATACAAAGGGCTCATCAACGTCGGGAGCTGGTGTCGCAAAGGAGCAGAGCTCTGGGTCCAGAAGGAGCCGCAAAGCAAAACAATAGATTATACTGAATCCCTTCTGTTGGAACAACGTGTATAGACATACCTTGCAATTCTGGCTTTTGCATGTGTACAGGATGAGAAGAAAAGAAAGATTAAGGGAACACAACCAATTATTTCTGCTATATGTACCTAAATCCAAGGGATATAATATAGATGTCACCAAGAAAAGGAAATTCGTCTCTTTCAGTCTAAAATACCTCATAAGTCTAAGCCAATGCGCTCGTCCACTTTTCCAGTCTTTCTCGCCTCGCAGAGAACTTTTTAGACTCTTATTTTCATTCGCAATGATTAATTACTTCTTGAGCTGTTCCAGCAGCTCGGCAGGGGGCTGTTGACGGTAGCCCTGGGGGTTGTTCTTGGTCCAGCGCCAGAGGTCCTCGCAGGCCTGCTCGAGGGTACGCTGGGCCTTCCAGCCAAGCTCCTTGTTGGCGCGAGTAGGGTTGGAGGTGAGGTTGAGAACGTCACCAGCGCGACGGGGGGCAACCTCATAAGGAAGGTCACGGCCAACGGCAGCGGAGAAGGCGCGGATCATCTCGTAGACGGTGCTGCCCTTGCCGGTACCCAAGTTCCAGGCGCGGACGCCGGGGTTGTTGGCGCGCAGGTAGTTGAGGGCCTTGAGGTGGCCGTCGGCGAGATCGAGAATGTGGATGTAGTCACGGATAGCGGTTCCGTCGTGAGAGGCGTAGTCTGAGCTTGCATTAGCATAGTCCACTAGTCTTTTACATCTCGAAACTGTGTGAACACATACCGTCACCGAAAACGAGCAGCTTCTCACGCTTGCCGGTAGCAACCTGAGCAAGAAGAGGGAGCAGGTTGTAGGGGACGCCCTGAGGGTCCTCACCCATAATGCCACTGGGGTGAGCACCAGCGGGGTTGAAGTAGCGAAGGAGGGCAGCGTTCCACTTGTTAGCCTCATCCTCCTTGCCGGCCTTGGTGGCATTGTTGCGCTGAGCGTTGATCACGTCGGTGATGGCGGTCTCAACGGCAAACTTGGTGTTTCCGTAGGGGTTGGTGGGGCCCAGAGGGCACTCCTCGGGGATGGGGATCATGTTGGGGAAGCGGGTGGCATCACCGTAGACGGTGGCAGAGCTGGAGAAGACAATGTTGGTGACATTGTGGCGGACCATGGAGCGAAGCAGGCAGAGAGTGCCGTAGACGTTGACCATGTAGTAGTCCAATGGCTTTTCGCCGGACTCGCCAACAGCCTGAAATCGACGACTATGGGTAAGCAATTGATCGCAATACACGCTCAAAAAGAAAGAGAAGATATACCTTCAGAGCAGCAAAGTGAATGACACTGTCAATGTCGGGGTGGGCCTCGAAGACCTTGTCGAAGCCAGCCTCATCGGTGACATCCAGCTGAACGAACTCGGCTTTCTTGCCGCAGATCAACTCGATCCGCTTCAGAGCTTCTACGGAGGAGTTGTACAGGTTGTCAGTGACGACGACCTTGTAGCCAGCCTCGAGCAAAGCGAGGGTGGTGAAGGAGCCAATGTAGCCAGTGCCACTGTGGGTAGACACAAAGGTACAGAGTCAGCAACCTAGGCCCATTGATAGGTGGGGGGGATACGGTGGGCTATCTTGACTGTTACTTACCCCGTAACAAGAACTGAACCAACAGACATTATGATGACGAGAGAGATTCAATTGATTGAGATAAGAATACAACAAACTAACAAAAGATGACAGTCGCAGAAAGAAAGAATGAGATGGGATTGATTTAAAAGGAAACAGAAGAGCAGGAGGAAGACCCAGGGGAATTCCGACGGGGCGAGGGGCAGCTGGAGATTTAAGGGGAAGACCAGCTTATTATGGTGGGGGGACTGCGGACTGCGGAGGGGCACTGTCCCAAACCCAGATCAATCACTGAACCACGACGCTGACAGCTGTGGCTTAATCTTATCCAATACGCGGTAGCCGCTACCTATTGCTGCATTTCATTCATTCTTTTCTTCATCTATTATCCCCTGAGTCGCACACTGCTTGAGTCCGTCATGCCATGTTCCGCATAAGTAGTATCATCTCCGAGTGATTTTCATTCGTTTGTTGATCAACTTGATCGACAAAATCCAGCGGCACAGCCAAAACCGACTACGCGGCGCCACAATAGTAAGATCGGCTCTCTAATTAACTCTAGTGGTGTGTGCATACGTATTACAGTCAGCCAAGAGTTTGATTTCATCTGTCTGAATAGACCACCAGGACAGGATACAGATGCATGCTGCACAGTAAGCATATGTAAGAATCAAGAATTGACCGTTGGCAACCGAATTCGATCGATAGCTTGCATTCGGCCCAGTCTTTAGGAATCCTTTCGGCTCATTGTCGCTCACATTCGGGATGTCAGCTGCGAACTGGACCCTAGATATCTGTCGCCGGCCTGGCTTGCAAGCCTGCAAGAAGTAATTCCTGGGGAGCGCAACAAAGCAATTCGGCATCCGTCGCGAACAATCCGAGAGAAATCCGGTGTGACAACTAGATTAAGCATTGAGGTCTACCAACCAGGCAACTGGTGTCACTGTTCGTAGGTTGCCAGCTGTTGTCTGTTGGACAATGAACTTCGGAACTGAATTGGAAGCGGGTCCAGTTCCGCTTGAAGGTGGACCAACTTGGCAGCTTCGACCATTCTAAGCAGACGATCTAAGGGTCTAATCTCGAGAACCAGTCGAAAGGTTGATTGAGCGCAAAATTCAACCTTGCCCACTGACCACTAAGATGACCACGTTGCCGACTACATAAATTTCAGTCTGAAGGTCCCTACATTGTATGAATAAATGATACTCATGTCTGGCGAACGCATGGAGTTTAGCACAGTATTCCGCCATCATTGTTACCCTTTTACGAAATTGTATCGAGAATGAGGAGTATCTGGTGTTGATGAACTGAAAGTTGTGTAGCGCCGACGACAAGATATGGCGCCAGGAGGCGCGCAATACGCAGTACTCCGTAGAGAAATGAGCATGAATAAGAGTACATTGAGTTGTAAATCCCCTTTTTCCCAGTCGCAAAGATACATGAGCGTGGAAAGTCTCTTCAGATATGTGCGTTTTCGAAACCCACTTGGAGTAAAAGTGGTAGAATTGTAAGGGGGTCAAGAAACCCCTGTCCCTGCTCGGGTGTCATCCACTCCTGCACCCTGGATGACAAGCTCTGACACAGCATCTGCGATGTCATGAATGAAGTCCATAACATGCAATGTGCAATGTCACCATTCATTATTAGCATGAATGCCAATCAGACAGGACGCGCTGTGCGTGGAGGCTTCTCCCGCTCTGTAGCACGCAACCAATATGGCAAAGCAAATAAACCGTTCATTATATAATATTGATTTAGCCGAGAAGTTCGACATCAAGTCCAATGGCACGCATAAATAGGTTGACGTTTCCTAGTCGTTGGCTGGCCATATCGGCGGGCAGTGTCTTGCTGTATGTCACTGTTTCCATCACACGATCCCTGGACACATGTTAGCATCCGTCTGGCAGGTCATACAAATCTTATGGCAAACAATAAGACGTCGAGAGAAAACTCACTTCACTGCGATGACCAAGCGCTGCTGCTGCTCAGGGCTCGCTCCGATGCCAACAGCTGCCAAAAACTGCCAGACATACATATCGTCGCCAGCGTTAATCGAGGCGGGGAAGATATCGCCAAAGATTGGCTCGAGTGTGTCGAACAGCACGTTGAATTTCTCAACCCATTGTTGCCAGTCACGTTCTGCAGCCTGCCCGGCTTCCTTTACAATCTCCGCACGGCTGAGCAACATAGTCAATATTCCCAGTCCAATGCGTGTCTTGGCTACTAGCTGCACGTGAGTCTGCGCAATCACAAGACCCAGAAGCCCAATAATGATGTTGAATGGTGCCTCGTTCACATATCCCAAAAGACTGGGCATGACGGCCTGCGAGAACAGATCAATGGCCTCCCTAACCGCAAGCGAAGGCTGGCTCTCGCCTGGAACAGGCTGTGCGCTTCGAACCACATCCAAGGTGTCCAAGTGGACAACGATCATTGTGAGGATTGTGACTCGCTGTTCTTGGTCAATGTGACGGAAAATGCGTGGAATAGCCTTCTTGCCCTTCGGATAAGACAGGAAAGCAATGAATGGATGTGGAGTGTTCGTGTTAGGAACAATAGGCTCCATGACCTTGAGTTCTTGCCACAATTTCTGATTCAAGGAACGGATCTTCTGCCGCCATTCCAAGTGCTTCTGGATGGCTTCAGAATCATTCTCGTCAGGCAGAGGGGGCATGGTGCGCTCCATGTCTTCCATCTCCATCAAAGTACTGTACACATTTTCAATGTTCATCAGGATAGACTTCCGATCACTGAGGCTCAGGTCCGTGGGTTGCTTCTTAGCAGCCTTGGCTCCGTCTGAGGTCTCGGGGCGCTTGATGTTGAGCATTGGCTTCGGCGCTTTGGCATTGCTGAAAGAGATCTTGCCCAAACTGCCCTCAATAATCAACTGCTTGTTCTTCGGTTTCGCTTTCGCCGCTTCAACTGCACGCTGGACCTGCTGCTGCATCCTTTGCATATGGTTGTCGGCACTCTGGAGATTTCTTCGTCCATGGCCACCAAGACGGTTACCAGTCTGAAGCAAGTAGGTCTGCGCAAAGTGGCCAAGAGGCTGATGCGGATGCTGCCGAGGCGCACCACGGATCTGGCTGTAAACCTGGTAGTAAAAGTCCTCTGCTAAGACCGCCTCCAAGTCCGCATCCGCAACATTACCTGCGGCCGCCACAAGCTGTTGCAATTGGATTCGCGTGATGAAGTTCTTGTCTTGAGGGGTCATCAACCCATTGCCCTTTGACAGGAGGAATATCTTGTGATTGCGCTTTGCCCGCTTCGCATCCTCCATTAAATATGCCATGCGTTGTTCTTCCGTCAACTGCATTAGCTGCTGAGGGTTGGTGATCAAAGGAAGGCCGGTATTTGCTCCCTTCATAGCCTGCGGTGGCGGAGGCTGTTGTGGAGGCTGTTGCGGAGGCTGCTGCACTCGTGGGGGAATCGCCTGGCGCTGCGGAGGTCCCATATGCTGGGGCAGGATATTGGCATTTTGCAGGAGATGCAATGGCACATTTGGCGCAGTTGGTGGTAGAGAATATGGCTCTGGGACCATGGAGGGATGGTGCAGAAGATGTGCTGGCGGCGCATCTTTGGGAAACTGGGCCTGGAGAAACTCAGGCGGCAGTTGTGAAAATGCTTCAGGAACGTTTGGGAGCTGCTGGGTCCGTTGAAGATGCGAAAGATCGGGCATCGCCATCGGCATAGAGACCGGAGGCTGGACCGGAGCAATACCGTGACTACGTAACTGAGCTTCGACCTCCTCCAAGCTTAACATTTTCTTGGCTTGCGATACAGGCTCGGGAACATGTTGGTGAACATGTTGGTGCACATGCTCGTGAACAGGCTCATAAACAGGTTCATGAACAGGCTCTGGCTTCTTTTGCAAGCCCCAGACGCTGGACTTGGCTTGTAGGTCAGGGATATATCCTGGGTCCTGGTATTTCTCATAGCCAGTACGTTTGGGTTTATCTGCCGAGACGCTGGTTGCTGGAGGCTGGGTAGCAACCTCTTTTGCCGAGCCCCCACTAGGAGCAGCCGGGTGTTGTAGATTGAAACGAACTTGCTCCTCACCGATAGCATCCGCAACCTGTGCTGTCTGCCCAAAAAAGTCGAAGTCCTTGCCGACTGAGCCTGTGCCAGCGCCGCCAAACGTGTCATCATTAAAGGCATCTTGATCATCGTCCAGCTGATCCCCTAGACCATCGTAAGTGTCCTCAAAATCGATGCTGTAAACACCGATACGCAACTTCTGGTTAGCAATGTGTCTTCAATCATATGGCTGCGACTCAAAGTCCATAGGAGACGAAAGCGACTCACGCATCATCATCGTCTCCTAAGCGTCCTGCCCCAACACGGGCGACTTCGGCAAAGGGATCGGGAGCTTCGAAAAACCCCCTTTTTTCCCCCGCGGGAGCTCGGTCCCTCGGTAGGGTAGTATCAAAGCCGAAGAACGACATCTTCGGCTGGAGGTTGGACGGGGACAAGGTAGATTGAGGGGATGGCAATATCTACCACGGCATTCTCGTAGTGGGATGAAGTTAGTTCGGTGCCCGTCTGATATCACCCGCTAGTCCAACTGGGTTAGTGTGCGAAATTATTGCCTGAGGCAGATAATCGTCACGCCACACCGCCACAGGACACGTTTCATACAATGCGGAGATTCCTCGATGCAACAAAAAGGGCGATTGAGGCATAAGAGTCAAGAAAATAGCGTGTATAAGTGCAACATATTAGACCTTTTTGAATACAAACATTGTCTATTTTGAAACTGAAATGCGACAGCTCTAGAATGGCACAACTTGATTGACTTCAGCGCCAATATGATCTCCAAACCAGAATGGATCGTCGCATACTAACTTCTGCCAGCCCCATACAGAGAAGATAAGAAGACATGTCTAGATCCCTCATACATCCTGATAGAGCTGATCCTAATCGTGTAATTCTGCCATGAATCGATTCCATCTCGTCCTGTTGTTGGCACAACTGGTCCTCAAGGAAATGCGCCGGGCCTAATTGCCAGACAAGGCAAAGGGTGGCTGAAAGCAATTTCATAATTACGTTGCGTGGCCTGGCGTTCGTGGATACCTTCTAGATAGCTTCCACTGGCGTCGCTTCAGACGGAACGTTTTCTATAGCTCATTCCACATTGATTTCAATCTTAATCAATCACGATAAATTCTAACTTGAAGACTGGCTTGGCCCAGTCTATCAAGGCCAAGTCAACGTGGATGTCATTGTTCCACATCCCCTTTTGATCGTTTAATCCTCGTTGGCGTCGCACCAAATCCGTCTGTTCTGAGGACGCAAAGACCTGTTCAGCAACTTCTCTAGGCCTGATCGAAATTTCTTTAGTATCTTCTGGCCGTGCCTTTCCTATTCTTTTCTTGTCACTCGTTTCGATCTCGTTGATCAAAGTCACCTTCGCCCATCTCCTATACGAGCTTCCGCCGCAGGCAACATTATCCTTCGGATCGTCAACCGTCTTCTCAGCCAGGGGTCTCCTGCCCGATAGCAGAGTGAGAAATTCATCATGTCTTCAGGACCGAAATATATGCGATACTTGCTCTTTGCTGTGGTGGTTCGTCGGTCCTTGAATTTCTGCCCCCATACCCTCCCGCAGTGCCACTGACACAGTACCAGGGGTTGGCAGTATTCTTCTTAATCTCTCGCAGTTCAATTCCAATCCCCGAAAATATCGGATCGAAATTGAATCCCGCAAATTACAAAGATACCGTCTCACAATCTGACAAAGCGCACAATGACGCGCCACCACCAATACCGCCAGTGAAGGAGACTCCGGGAAGCGCGAATACTGCGCCAGTTGGCCGAGTAAATGCGACATTTGTCACGCTGGCTCGCAATTCCGATGTCTGGGATATTGCGAAATCGATCCGACAGGTCGAGGATCGCTTCAACCGTAACTACCATTATGATTGGGTCTTTCTCAACGACAAGCCATTTGACGACACTTTTAAGAAGGTCACCACATCCCTGGTGTCTGGAACAACATTCTATGGTGAAATTCCAAAGGAGCACTGGTCGTACCCCGATTGGATCGATCAAGAGAAGGCCAAGAAGGTTCGAGAGGAAATGAAACAGAAGAACATCATCTATGGTGACTCCGAGAGCTACCGCCACATGTGCCGCTACGAGTCCGGTTTCTTCTTCCGCCATCCACTGATGCTGAACTACGAGTACTACTGGCGCGTGGAACCCAGCATTGAGCTTTACTGCGATATTAGCTTCGACCCGTTCCGGCTTATGAAGGAACAGAACAAGAAATACAGTTTCGTTCTTAGTTTGTATGAATATTACGACACCATCCCCAGTCTATGGGATAGCGTCAAGAAGTTCATTGGCAACCACCCCGAGCACATTGCTGAGGGAAATGCGATGGATTTCTTGAGTGATGATGGAGGGAAGACATACAACAAATGTCACTTTGTGAGTTGCCGTCATTACAAGCCATGCTGTTGCTGTTGCTGACTGATCATTTCACTCAGTGGTCCAACTTCGAGGTTGGAAGCTTAGAATGGCTGAGATCGAAGCAGTATATTGACTATTTCGATGCTCTTGACCACGACGGCGGCTTCTTCTACGAGCGGTGGGGAGATGCCCCAGTTCATTCCATTGCGGCCGGCATCATGCTCAAGAAGGAAGAGATACACTTTTTCAACGAGATTGCATACTACCACATTCCCTTCACACATTGCCCGACCAGTGAGCAGATGAGGCTGGACCTGAAATGCCACTGTAATCCCACCGAGAATTTCGATTGGAAGGGATATTCCTGTAAGTTCACTTGCCACCTTGAGACGTGCATTGACCTCAATGTGTTCAGGCACATCCCGGTGGTTCCAGATCAATGATATGGAGAAGCCAGAGGGCGCTGAAGAGCAGAGTTGACTAGCCGTGCTGGGTAAAGTTTGTCTGGTCTTCATTATAGTGAGCTCTTTCGTTGGGCTGCTCTTCCTTTTCCGAGTGCGCATCGTCCATACCGCCTATCATCTATTCAAATTCGTCTGTGATATGATCCCATCATCTTGACGATGAGTACCTATCTCCTGGCGGTGGTCTGTCCTTAAAGGTCATCGGCAACGCTGGCGTCAGTTCGAATTACAGATAGCTATCTTCAACTTGATCTTCATGTTCTGCGCCATTCAGCTCTGTGTACATTTGACTACTGAATCCCTGCTCGCTGCTCTGGTTTTATGGGCTACTTTTGTTTGGGTTAGTATATGTTTTATGGAGCATCGGAGGATATAAAAAGATGATCATTTGTTATGGGCTTTCTGATATCATGTCAGAGGAAGAAAATATTGGCGCATCTATCAAATTGCATCATAAATGTACATAGCTGTTCAACGACAGAAAATTGACGGCAACCAAATTAATTGTTAAAATGAAAATTCTGGAACAAATTGTACAATGTGTGAATCGGCATCCCTCTACTCGCAAAGAAAGATCACCACAGGACCGACTTCTGAGCTTCTAATCCTTCTTGGGCTTCTTAGTACCATACTTCGATCTGCTCGTCAACCGACTCGCAACGCCACCCTGTAAATCAAGCATTAGCAATGGACCAAACCACCCAACTATATTCAAAACACTGCGCGCGCCACATACCAGATCCATCGCTCCCCGGACCAAATGGTACTTAACACCAGGGCAATCCTGGGCTCGACCTCCACGGACGAGAACCACACTGTGCTGCTGAACATTGTGACCTACACACGGCAGCCACTATCAGCACAATCGCCTATCGAGTTGACAAATTGACACATGGAGTGATCTCACCTTCACCGGGAATATACGCCGTCACTACCTTCCCACTGCTCAGCCGTACTCTTGCAGTCTTCCTCTCACCCGAGTTGGGCTTCTTGGGCTTCGTAATACCGGTCTTCAGGCAGACGCCCTTCATCTGGGCCCTACCAATGAGCGCGGGGGATCGTGAGCGGCGCGCTCGCTGCGATACACGGCATCCGCGACGGACTTGGTTGTAGGTTGCCTGGCGGAAGGGGGAGGTGGAGAAATGACGGGTGATAGGGCCTGCGCCTGCGGCTCTTGTTGCTGTAACGGCTGAGGGTGTGCGGAGGATGGGTTGAAACCGGGAGACGGTTGGCCTCGAGACTGCCGGGATGGCTGTGAGAGAAGGCCGCTGGGCTAAGGTCCGCAGGGTGCGGAGGGCGAGGGAAGAGATAAATGGTGGCATTGTCGCGGCTGTGTGTGTATGGATGAAATTGAACGTCCCCTTCAACTTCTGTATCGCAGCGTTGATACGGGATACGGGATAATTTCTCGATAATATCACGTGAGACGAATGCATAAACTAGCTGCGGAGATGGTTCCTCTACGGGCCCGGAGAAGCTGGACGCGCTATGCGGTTGGAGCCTTGGCACCTCAGGCTAGTGACTATCGTAATGCTAGAGCTACCTACGATATCAACCAACTCAGCTATCACCTTGACTTTACAACCTTCGTCATACAACTTCCATCTATCTCCTTCATAGACTAACAAGCTTTCTTTATTATAAATCTCTAAATTCAAGCTGGTCATCCATTAAGCCACACCTCCAGCATCACCAACGCCAAAATGGTATGTCTTATCCTTTTAGTTGCCATGATCGTTACCGGACAATTAAGCTTGCAATTCCTCGAAGACCGTCACTAACGCTCTCACAGTCCCTTCGCATAGCACCCCCAGCAAACTATGCTACGCAAGCCTCCAACACAACCACCAGTAATCCCACCGCTCGCCCATCAAAAGGCGCCCCATCCGCCCCCGGTCTCCCCGACACCCTCCGCAACAAGATCGCCCTCCCAGCACCCGTGGGTCCCCCCTCTAGCAACCAAACCGCTACCCCTTCATCGACACACCCGCTCGAAGCCCGCCTACTCGCCTGGCGCCAGACCCAGGACGCCATGAAGATGGAGACGCTCCGCCGGGCATACGGGATCGCGGAACCTGTGCGGCGCGGTATGGAGCTCAAGATCGTGCGGGACGGCACTTTCCGGCCTGCTGTGCTGGGCGGAAACAAAGGTGGTAATGTGCACGAGGACATTCTGGTTCTTGGGGGACGGGATACAGAGGTTGGCTGGGAGGATATTTTCCAAGGTTCGTTGCATGTCCGGGTCTCCGCTGACGAAATGACGATGCTGATGTTTTTTTGATGCAGGAGACGAATTCAGGGAACCGCCTTCCTTCCATGATGAGATGGAGAAGAGACTCCGGGTGGAGTTTTGATTGGGGTATCGCGGCTTGCTCTGCCTGTTCTGCTTAATTTTCCCATGAGCCGTTACGCTTCTGATACAGTCTCAATAAAGACCTTAAGATATTAAGACTTGTTGCTCTGCGATGTTTGGAAGATTGCCCTGGAAAGCTACACTAAGACACTGTATCACTACATGAACTTCGGTATTTACTGGTAAACTTCAAAAAACGACTTTCATGGGTTCATTTATGTCCACCTGAGTTCTGTACATCATTCCGGTTCCCAACTTGGCCCTCAGGGTGACCTAATGAAAAAGACTATGTCCTTGAACGATGATCAGACTGTACATTGCTCTCTGAATAATGAGAATAAGGCAGTCTGGAATTCTGCCAGATTGATAGCAATGTCAGAGGACGATTGCCAGCAACTCCCACCATGACAGTTTGGAAAGACGCTTGAATGAAAGGGGTACTTGGGGTAGTTTGGGCAAATGCCAAGAGAAAGCCACCAGAAAGGAGAATCAGTAACCGGACAAGAGTAAACCAAAGGGCCATGGCGTTGTTGTCAGCTAAGAACGAGACTAGAGACGAATAAATGGCAAGATGGGAAAGAAGGGGGTATATAGGGACACGGAGGATGGGACACAAGAAGCAATCGAAGCCTGTACATAGGATGCGAAACAGAAAGAGAGATTGGGAAATACAATCAGAAACCGCAAAAACCAGATGTTAGAGCACAATCGCGATTATCCATGACGCCAGCCCTTGCGTATGGTCAGCCAATATGACAAATCAGATACCATGTATCAAAAGTGACGAAAATGATCGAAAAGATAGACGAGCAGATATGAACAAAGAAGCACAGATATGGAGATCACCAAATGCCGTCGGAAGGCACATAACCCTCCTTCAATGGTAGGAAGACTTAAATATATCATTGGATGATACAACGACATCCAGGACTGCGTTCACTGGCCTCCCGTTCCCGGCTATACGGAGCTTTGGCTGCCTTGGCGTCTTCTTCGTCCACAATTTCTTGAGGCTTGACTGTCATATGTACCACGTTAGGAGCATCTCTGTTGAACTTGCAGTCTGAGAAGCAGTACATCAGCCGAAAGTCTAGAGCAGCGTTTACGTAGTTTGTCGCCTACCTGATAAAGGGGACTTGTCATCCAGCAACTTGCCAAACGAAATCAATCGGATAGAACTTGGAGAGGTTGGTTGCGACTCCCAATCTGTCAGACACGTAAATTCATCAGCACACGGTCCGGCCTTCTTATTCTGCGTCGCGCAGTGGACGCCGACAGCTCCGCTCCCTACCTTGTCTCCAATCCTTCCAGATCAGTTCCTTCAGTGTGTATACACTCATAGCAAACGGATCGTTACTCTCGACGTTGATACCCCGCTTTTGTAAATATTTCCCATCGATCTCGAAAGGATGACGTGATCCTGTTGTTAAAAGGAGTGTGATGGTCAACGACGGGCCGGAATCCTCCACTTCCTTCGCGGCGGCGTCTGATGCGCCAGGTAATGGCTCAGGGACTGGCGTATCAGCCGTAGCTAGTCCTGTGGTATCTGGGGGCTTGTCATTCGTTGGAGAAGGGTAGCTAATGCTCTGCTGGGCGGAAATAATCGGCGTACTGCTATCGTGGACACCAGCGGCTTGGGTGCTGTCCGCATTATCATTTTTCTGGGTGTTCTCGGTCTGAGGAGCAGGAACAGAAGCGTTGTGGACAGGTTCCGAAGAAGAAACTGCGGAGGTGTGCGATTGTTGCTGTGGTTCTTGAGGGGATTCGAGCGTTGCAGATGGAGCTTCGTCCTTGATCCCTGGTGATGCAATGTCCGATTGCGGAGGGTGAGTGTCGTTAGAAGACATCTCGAGTGAGTTTCAAATCGCCGTTCACAATCGAATCGCGGGAATTAGAGCAGAAGTGAAAGAAGAGGCAACGTCAAAGAAAGAAATGAAAAACGATGGGATGTGTCTTCCGCAGACTTAGGACGGGGTCCTTGAAGGGGGGGACGGCTGGCGAGAAAGTCGCTTTAAATGAGGCGTGGGAGGGAGGCAACCGACGAATACATTCGAGAACTCGCAACCGAAAAATACAGAGAAGAAGCAGAGATATCAATAGATAAATAAGAAAAATAGATTTATGGTGGTGCGACACACTTGCGTGAAGGAGGAGAGGTAAAGGAGGAATCACAGAGGTGGAGTCGTAGGAGTTGGAGGACTACTTGGTAGTAGTCTCAGTAACAGGACAGGCGAGTCAGGCAAGGATGAGGGGAAAAGCAAACTAGAACACGCAAAAATGGTCAGAGGAATAGATAGCACCAGGACAAATGGGTGATGGGTAGCCAAATCTCTAGTTCAACTCGGAGTTGGTGCTTTGACTCTTGGTTTGATTGTTGGTCTGGCCCACGGTCGCAACCGCAATTTGCCTCCTCTGAAACTCCTTAAAACGGAGGGGGACAGATGTTCCCCAGTGTAGATAACGACTGTCAAATCTCAAACAGATTATCAATGAATCACAATGCAGAATGCGACAGAGAGTTTGAAATCAACCTTCAAATTTCTGATCAACGATCCTATTTTTATTCTTCCGTTTGTCGTTACAAACAACCGACTACTTCGTATTTTGCGCGCAGGTAGAAACCCGTCATCACCGCTGATCATGGTCGCATGCGGAGAAGCAATGTGATCTGCTCCCGGAACTCGAGCTCATGCTAGTAAGGTAGCGAGCAGATATATGTAGAGTAACATAGAAATGTTTGCACTTGCCTAGGCTTACCTCGCAATCCTCGCATTGCATACGATCCCCTTAACTTCGTCGGGGTAAAAGCGTCATTCGGATAGGGGACCCACGGGTATCTCCACAATTGATCTTTGATGGAGACGACCTAGTAAGAGAGCATCAAGGTAGCATCTCCCATCTGCGTACACCTTTTGACCGAGGCTCTCAGGACTCTACGAAGCCCTTTGTCTAGGAATTACTCCGTACGCCTCCATCGTTTGTTTCTGGATGCCAATCGCGATCTAGCGTAGTCGTGCATGAATATGCGTAAAGTACCGTCGCCCTAACCCACCATGCCCATGATGTCTCCTGCGCCTACTACAGCACTACGTTAGCAGTTATAACGAGGGAGCTTATGGAACTCAGGAATACCTAAGGAACTATAATTGTACGGTTATATGCAACACATATATTAATCGTGAACTCGCTCCCCTTGCAATATGGATGCATCTGAGGATAGATGGCAAGAACTTCTTGGGATGGTTGAATACAATCTGACCAGTGATTTGTGATTCTCCAGCTTCCAGCTTCCAGCATCTCCATCGAGATCAAGCCATTGACCCATAACTTGTTGTATGAGCAATACAGAAGGACGGATCTTAATGAGATATCAGCTGTCCCTTCGTCCACTGTCCATGTGTCAACACGACTCGACGAATGCTTTCCTTGATCTGTCTTGTATAATTTGATACACTGTCGCTAGAGTCGTTCCTCAACTCGCGAAATCTGTGGTTCATCCTCTGGGCTGTTCGAAATTTCAAGTACATGTGCCTCCAGGATGGCCATCTTGATGTTGAAGGTATGTGTCACAGTGTCTGATGGTTCCCTGAGTGGTTTACTCGCACATGCCATTATATCGATGGTAAGAAACAAATTCTGGCTTCTCTCTCTCTCTCTCTCCCTCTCCCTCCCCCCCCTCTTTCGGAGGTTAGTCTCAATAGCAGGGATGCTGAACGCACTAAGGAGTTACCAAGAGGTGTGATTCATTGAACCAGGAGACTGTACAGACTTTCAAAGCCTGATATCTTGTATGCAAGCAGCAGTGTACGTTACTCGTTTGGCCTCTGGAAATGCAGAACGCGGTTGGCGATTTCAATAAAACCTTGACGCTAATGTCATATGGATTGTCGAAGACTTGAGGAATAGATCTCACCTGTCATTGTGCGACGAGTTGTCAGATTCGGTGTCTATATATCGAGGATTCGCCATTTCCAAGGATGTTTAGAATGCCATCCGCCTGTCCGAGAGTGCCTGGAGCTATATCAGTTACATCTTCTATAGTCGTAGTTCCTACTATAGAATGATCTTTGCATCTATCTTCATAAATGAGAAAGATATTTTCCTGGTGGCAGTTCTCTCGCGGCTCCTCTTGGCCAAATATCTTGTTGTGGTCGGTTGGCGTTTTCGGGATTACCTTAACTGCGACACGATCATGGAGACATCAAGATGACTACCAAGCCAGGAATTACTGCGGAGAGACAATCGTGACAGGCAAGGTAATAATATCTCATCATTGCAGGTGATCAAGCCTCTTCAGCCAAGATTACAACAACTTGAAGAAACGACATTTGGACATCTGTTACGGAGTCTGGGACTTCAAGCAGAACAGATTCTGGCCGCAGATGCCTGAGGCTCAAGCAAAAATTGCTCTTCTGACCTCCTGAGACGCAGCTAACCACCGAAAGGCTGCGAAGGAACTCTCACAAATTCAGAGAAGCTCCTAGACGTCGTGGTTCCTCAAAGCCAGTAAAGTTCTATGATTTAAATCTCATTATCAAGATGCGCCCTCTAATTACAAGAATAAGGGAGATAGGAGGTCCGAAAATACACAGACATAAAGATAAGAGCTCTTGGAATCTAATTGTCTGGATACCATGTGGTCCGAGCGGCTAGCGTTAAACACCCCACAATTCGGCAGGCTTGCCGGCGTTGCCGCACCTGGGGAGAGCTAGATAATCCTTATCACTACAGCATCTTCTTTACTCATGATTTCTCGTACAATTTCCATATAAGCATGTATTATAATATAGTCTCACTTCCTTTATAAAATATGCTAGTTACACTCTACTCAATATAAAGGAGAATGGGTTGTTCACATCCGTTCATTCACTCTGCACCTAATAGTGATATCACTCATCTAGGTACAAAAGCGAGTTTTACTTGTTTATGCCGGCAGTGGCTCATGATTTGCGATTATCATATCAAACGATGCGATGTCACCTGCACACTAATAATCTTCTCTTT